GGCAGAGCATCCACGGGGACGCTGCTGGAGGCCTCGCCGCCCAGCACTTGTCCCTGTGCTGCTCACCTGTCCCCTGGGGAGCCGGCCACCCCACGCAGGGCTGCACACAGGCATCACGCTCCCCATGACGCTTGGCAGCTCCGGCAGCTTTTCTCCGCTTCCCCTCTCAGCCCATGACTCCCAACGTGAGGCTTTTCATGGCTCCATAATCACTTGCAAATTACCCGGTACAAAAGGAGCTGTTTATACAACACTTCTGACAGTCCCACAATTTGAGTGATGCTGCGGAGTTTCCGTGGAGACCCTGCACGTCAGGCGAGTCCTGTGAATGCCAGAGCTGGCACTAAGGGAATCTCCTGTCGGAGCTAGAGGACTCTGCTGGCCCCCCAGCCCTGGGTGGGGACAGAGAGGGGTACCCCTGAGCCCACAGCAGGCTGTGGGGCTCATGCCTGCCAGGGTCCCGGCACCCAGGGTCTCCCTGCCAGGTGCCCTCACACAGGCTGTGCGTGCCTGTGGTCCTGCCGCAGACCTGCACAGCCTATGCCTTTCTTCACGCTCAAGTGCTATAAAGGCCTGGTCAGGGGTGCCGGGAAGAAGCACCGAGGCTTGGGCTTGGCAAACAGTGGTGCCAGGGCGAGGGCACTGCCACCATAGAATCATAGAATCACAGAATCATAGAATCATTGAGGTTGGAAAAGACCTCTAAGAGCATCAAGTCCAACCACCCACCCAACACCACCATGCCTGCTAAACCGTGTCCTGAAGTGCCACATCTACATATTTTTTGAACCCCTCCAGGGATGGAGACTCCACCACTTCCCTGGGCAGCCTGTTCCAATGCCTGACAACTCTTTCAGTAAAGAAATTTTTCTTAATATCCAATCTGAACCTCCCCTGATGCAACCTGAGGCCATTTCCTCTCGTCCTATCACTAGTTACTTGGGGGAAGAGACCAACATCCACCTCGCTACAGCCTCCTTTCAGGCAGTTGTAGAGAGTGATAAGGTCTCCCCTGAGCCTCCTCTTCTCCAGACCAGAACAGCTGCAGGGACAGCCCCAGGGCTGGCCCCAGGGAAGGACCACATGTGCCCAGCCAAAATGCAGTAATTTGGGTATCCTCTGACTGCCATGTCCACTGCCCCATCGGCCATGGCTCCCGGCTGGCCCGGCCAACAGACCGGCCCCGGCCCAGGCGG